GATGTTGTGGAAGAGAACGCCAGGGCGGCAGAAGCTTGGTTTGGTGTAGAAGGCTTCCAGCCGTACATGTTTGAGCCCTTGCCTCGCAACGCTGCCAGTTCTGTTAGCTCTACGCCTGCCGAAGACACAGACGTCCATCCCCGTGAACACTGGGACGCAACTCAATGGGAAAGTAAAGGATTCTGATTTCAACCGTTGCGTATATTAGCTGCGACATATGAATCAAGATGCTATGACCAAAAAATAAGATTGAGAGATGACCGTTGATATGACTGGCCGAATTTAGGTGTTCAGGCTGACGTAGAACTAACTGGCCTGCATAATATAACGAGAAAAAAACACAGATTTTAAGTAAGGATTTTTTTTTTTTTATAGAAATTTTCTACATTTTGGGACAATATGGTCTGATAAAGAATACATTTATATACATGTTTAAGCCAGAATGAGTTGACATTTAAATATGACTTCCCTACAACTTTAAGGGAGCTTGATGCTACAGCAATTACTGCTAAAGAAACCTGGAAGTTTAGAATCAGGAAGAAGCAAACAGGTTATGCGATCATGCTGGATGGGATGGTGATCCTTTCTATGAACGCTGAGAGATTAATAGTAAAGAAAAGTGTTAAAAGTCTTGTAGAACAAAGCTTTGTTTGTTTCTACAAAAGGACGTTGCACAGAGTCAGCTGTTCCTTAAAAAAAAAAAAAATAAATAAAAGGTTGAAAATAACCGAGTGAGATTTAAGCAATGCATGCAACACAGCCGGTGAAGAAAGTTAGAAAACATCCAGTCCTGAAGTCTAACAGTTTATAGAGTTTTTATATCAAGCAGGCGGCAGCAGAGTGAGGAAAGCACCCCTTTCATGTTTAATCAGGGAGATCTGAGAAACTCAGTGTTACTCACATAAAACAGGGGTCCACTCTGTAGGGTATGAGAAGATTCAATTGTTAAAATAAACCAGAAATATTCAAATGAACTGATTTTGTGGAGACAAGTAAATCTGTAGTTATAGCAGAACATTTCTAAAATGACAGATTAACATCTAGGAACAACCTGCAGTCGTCTAGGAATGGAAATAGTATCAGTTTTAGTGAGAATAGCTCAGATGTGAGTTATTCTGATGCCAGACAGCAGCAGGCTGCCTGGTGTACGAGTTAGAGGCTGGTAGCATGCTAGCTTAGATGTACATTTATGAGAACCTGTAGAGTCTGCTGAGATGCTTTTTATTCCAACTTAGAGTTCCCCTGCTAAAGATGTTTAAAAGTATTCAAGTATTCAAGCATAATCTCACA